TGTCATTTAAGGTTTAGATGCTTCTCTATGAAAGGGTATACACTGTATCTTTTATTCGTTTGTCATTTAGCACTTCTCTCTTTGCCTTGTCTAGGACTACAGACTATTTCTTTGTGGACAAGACCAGTGAAGTCCCAGTTTCACAAGAAACCTCTATGAACTGCTGAAATATGAGCAAACTGGTTGTTCTGAGAGTTGTTGTTCCTGTTGATGCCTTAAATACTCAGAAAAAAACCCCACTTATTATTGCCATGTTATAGTTCCATTGAGTGTTTCAATACTGCATAAACATCCTTTTCTGTTAGGTAATTCCTGGAATGACCTGTTAGTAGAAGTAAGCTACAGTAATACAGGTATGAGATCTGTTTATCTTATTTATTCATTTAAAAATAAATGTTTTAAGGATAAAGCGTCAAGATTTGTCCATGGACAAGTTATATTCTACCATGGCATGGATGAAGACTGCATATCGTTAGCATCCTGAAGTCAGTTACAATTTATAATCACTATTGTTGCAATTCTAAATTACAGTCCTCACCTGCAAAAGCCAACCTGAATACAATGGTTTTTTGATGTAGAGAATTGTAACCTAGAGAAGCAGATCGTCTCAGAGAACTCATGTTTGAGTGGTTATAGGCAACATTTTCAAAAGTGTGCACGTGATTTAGGAGCTTTAGACTGTTATTTTTCATCAGGATTAGACTCCTAAATCATATATATGTGTTTATGTAAAGTAGCTTTACCATTCAAGACAAGCATCCTGGCATGTACTTTTGGTTTATTTATTTTTACAACTTGTTTGAATTCATTTAAATAAGCAATTCATGTGGTAAGGAGGTAGAGCTTAGATCCTAGAAAAATTAGTCAGGGATTTCTTAGCAATCTCAAAGCAATAGTGTTCGTTGAGTCTGTTGAGACTAGTCAAACATTTTTTGCTACAGCATAATAATCCAACCTCGAAAGGTCTTCCCTAAAAGCAGAGGTTGCACTGGCATACTGTAATATGTTGTTTCATATAGAAGTCAGAATGAACCGATTATATCTAGAATTGTACTAACCTATAAATTTTACTAATAGCTAGTGAGAGTTTCTCTGATGAATTAACCTTTTGATCTCTCCACTCAGCAGTAAATCTCTTTATAAGTAGGATTAGTAAAAGTTAATTTACTAATATTGCAGGAGTTTATGTTTAATACTGTCAGAATGGATAAGCAAGACAGTTTAAAAACATAGAATCCTTGACTACACAACATTTTGGACTAACTAGTTATAACAGAAGTGTGTATATTTTTAAACTACCAGCTGTACTGAATCAATTAAATTACTTTTGTGTAATTTAATGAATAAACCTGTTGACATATTTAAAGCTGTTTAGTCAAACTGAATAATAGAAGAATGTCAAAGCTGGAAGTCCTGTAGCATTTAACCTTGCAGGAGAGAACACAGTATGTTTTCCATAGTTTTGTAAGTTGTTCCACAGGCTTTCATAAGTGTGAGAGAAGGATGTCGCTGAACTTTGCTGTGAAAGTGTCACAAAAAAAGTGTCCACTTCTGTGTAAAAGCCTGAGGATAAGAGTATGTGACAAATGAGTTCTCCAGGTAGTATGTAACTTTGTAGCAAGAGTAATACAATCAAAATTAAAATAGGCATGCAAACTATATTTATTTATATCTGTTTAATTTTCCAAAAAGTACCTCAATGTGATTATTGAAAAACAGAACCAAACAAACCCACAGAAAAGAAAAACATTGTTGTGAAATAACAGTAACACAGAACAGATCTTCCTTGCATTTAAGCAGGGACATCAAGATTTCTCTGTCTTTTTCTTGAGAGAAATACATCAAACAGTGCATCATATTGGATGCCTAATGCAGGACCCATCCAAGCTCTCCTACTCTATTCCTTTTCTCTACTGAGACCAATTATTTTAATAGAGTAAGTCAAGTACAGGGTGGGATAGGGCAGAATTAAAAACAAAACAAAACAAAACTAAAAAAAAAAAATCACCTTCATATCAAACTAGTTTTCCCCAGAAAATTATTTTGTTGGTGCTATTCAGTTCGTTCTGATAGATCCCAAGATTCTTGGTTTCACAACCTCCTGTCCTCTTGAATAACTCTTTTTTCCATAACTACAGTTGTCAAGTACACACAGTACCCTCTGGGAATAAATTCAGGTCAGTACCCATGAATGAAAATAAAAGACAATCCAGCAAAATCATGAATATCAGATAATTTTCAACTTTTGTCTTTCATTCTATTGGTTCTTGAATTCAGTTAATATTGTTCTGGTTTCAAAGAAGATTTTCCTTCATTGTTTTACTTTGGAAAGACACATTAAACAATTATTAATAACTTAGGATATATTTCAAGTCCAATCCTGAAACACAGCTTCACAAGAAACTTGAAGTATTAGTCTTTAGTTCCAGTTTGGAGTAACAAGTGGGCACTGATCTCCTGAGTTTTAAACTTTGTTTTTAATAGAGTATTTCCTGAGGAGTTCGGAAGTTCCTCACTAGAAGTGAAGGTTAGCATAAGAAGTATACAGAGTTTCACCTGGGGATGGATGAGGAACCAGCTGAGATGGAGGGCAGGCATCGGTGACATTACAGTGAGGGTCTACTACAGGCCACCCAACCAGGAAGACCAAGCACGTGAGACCCTCTCTAGACATATAGGAGAGGTCTCATGTTCACAAGCCCTGGTTCTCTTGGGAGACCCTGACAACTGTTGAAGGGACAACAGAGCAGGGATTAAGCAATCCAGGAGATTCCCAGAATGCGTTGATGTCTAGAATATGATGAAATTTTGTTTTGTCATATTTGATCTACATCAGCATGCAGTACGTCATGTTCCTCCTCACAGCTTTTGGATTCCCAGGTGGAGCACTGCTTTTTTTGTGAAGTAAATCTTAACCTTGCTTCTTCTTAGTCAATATTTGATGTGCATATTTAACTAAGTCACTATTCAAACTTCCTTTTATGGGAACTATTTCAAGTTTTGAGGAAGAGATTTGAATGTGTCTAAACATTATGAAGTGTTTACTTTTAGCTGTGTATTTTACCTCTGGGCTGCCATGTAGGGAGTGGTTGGCAGTGTGTGACTGAATGTGGATGTAATAGGATATCAGTGTTAACTGCTGATAGTGATATTTCCATACAACCTGATGATCAAAGAAGACTACAAGGAGTTAGAAACCAATATGAATTTCTTTCAGGCTGCAAATTAATTACTGAGGCTAATCTCTTCAGTTATCTCACTGTAAAGTCTTTACTAAAGATTCAAAGAAAACACAGTTAGTGGTAATAACTGTATCCTTCAAGAAATTATGTACTTAAAGCATTTCTCCTTGATGAAGGGGTCCTGTCAACCACAGTCTGTCATGGCCACAGTCTCTTATTGCTTTGAAAAACAACAGCAAAGACAATTTTGCATATCACTTAAAGTATTATAAGCTAAGCCACTAGAGGTTAGAGAATTGTGTATTCTTGCAACTCTGAGATGATGATTGTTAGGAAGATGACTGCTTTCAAGAATCCTAAAAATGAGAGTTTGTAAAAAGACAAAATAACTTATCCTTCTCACCCTGTCTACAGTATGTACTGTATAAGCAAATAGCACATCTGGCAGCTGACAGATACATTTTTTTCTGTTTTTAATTATATGTATTTTCATGAACAGGAAATGTCTGATTGCAGCATATGCTTCTAATGACATGAATTTTAAAACAAGTGTTTAATACTTTGTCATCAGAAAGTCTTGCATGACTGATTTGGGATGGGTAACACCCCCAAAATATAAGGCCTATTGAAATTTGGTCTTACATATCTAAATCTGTTGTCTGTGCAGAGCTGGATTTGCAAATCTTGCAGACATTGCCTGCCTATTTCATATGAATTTTTAACTCTTTCACCTGCATTTAGAACCTAGTAAAAAAAAAGCAGGGTTTTTTTCAATGTCATTTAGTCAACAAAAATACAATATTAAAGTTTGATATCTAGTGCATTTTGCTTTTTAGGCCAGATATTCAAACTTCGTTGTCTCAATATCTACTATATAATCTTCATAAAACCTAATTCATCACATAATATAAAAAATAATAAACCAGCATATTCATTCACTTCTGTATCCTTGAACAAAATCTTATTAAACATTGTCTAGCTAATGTTTAGACAGTTCTAGTACTCAAGATGAATGATTTAGAAATAGCTTATTTCTCTACACTGCATTGTGTCACATAGGTGTATTCTTACATAATGGAAAATTTTAAATACTTGGATATGAGGAATGTTGAGTGAAGACAAAACTATATCAGATGATGCGCAAAAGCGCTTGATGTACATGTTAGTATTTTGTACTCAACAAAGCCAGCAAGAGGCAGTTCCTATTTTTCTGTTGAAGGATAAGTCATTTCCAGTTAAACCAGTCTTAAGACCTTCTTCATGACTCTAAAAAAACATTTTATTAATAACAATGAAACTATCACTTTAAAAATAGAGGTAATCTTTTCTGAAATCCAAAATTCTAAAGTGAAAGGTCCTTAATCTGTGTTAGTCACGTCAAGAAGTCAACCAACTCTGACTAGCATCTGAACCCTGGGATCCTTAGATAAATTCCCTTCTGATGTCAATGTTACTGAAGTCAACTATTACCAGCTTTCAGTTACAGGGAATGTTTTACTACAAGAGAGTTGACCTTTGCTTGAAAAACCAAGACCATCATATTTCTCTCTAGAATTTTAGCACATCAAGGACTGAGTAGTATAATTATTGTATATATATATATAAACATTGTATATAAACAAGTATATAACATTGATGCAAAGTTAGTAATAATTTTCAGGGTCTGGTTATGTGCCATAAAGTGTTACTTATTTCTAAAAGTGCAATTCTCTTTTCAAGTACTGGTAAACATCCCACTTCTGGCTGCTCTCTGGGTGCTGTTTTCTCTGCTGTTTGTCCCACGGGAGCTGGTCACTGGTGTCAGATCTGCCGTGGGGGATGGACACCTCGCTTCCCTTCTCCCGGTTGCTGTCGGAGGAGAGGCCCATGGCTGAACTGTGGGGCTGCCAGCTGGGCACAGGCGCCCGGAGCTGAGTGGTGAAGGAGGGCGATGACTTCTTGGAGCACCTGGTGCTGCTGAGAATGGGGGACTGATGCCAGGGACGAGCTGTACGTGGTGGCTGTGGACTCCAAAAACGCCTCCGGGGAGCACAGGCTGGTGCCCATCGCAGCACTGCGGAGCTCAGTGCTGCCCATGATCAGCCCCAAAGCTCTGGAGCTGGTCCCTCCCGTCACCGTCATGCTCCAGTGTGGGGCTGGGCCAGTCTATCTCAGCGGGCAGTGCATCACCCTGGAAGATGATGCCAGCTCTGAAGCCGAGGAGGAAGAGTTCTTGGAGGAAGACGCAGGAGATGAGGATGACGATGGGGAATCATAGAACAGGGGCAGCTCAGAGAGGTCTGAGTGTAGCTGATGTAATGGTGGGGACATCCCTTGCCAGGAGCTGCCAGTGCCCTGTGCCAAATGCAACGGATCTTTGCAGAGGGACACAAACTGTCTGGGCTTTGAGTGTCATTCCTTATCTCCTCTCCTGACCCCCTCCGTTCCTCCCATGTTTGCAGAAATGCTTCCCCCCCCGCCCCCCTTTTATTGTGATAATAATAGGAAGTGCAGATACCCTGGAAATAATTAAAAAAAAAAAAAAAAACAAGACAAGAGGGCATGGTCTCAGGTTGTGCCAGGGGAGGTTTAGGTTAGATATTACAAAGAATTTCTTTACAGAGAGGGTGGTCAGACATTGGAATGGGCTGCCCAGGGCAGTAGTGGATTCTCTGTCCCTGGAGATTTTTAAAAAGAGACTGGATGTGGCACTTAGTGCCATGGTGTAGTAACCACAGTGGTAGTGGATCAAGGGTTGGACTTGATGATCTCGAAGGTCCCTTCTAACCCAACTTATTCTGTAATTGTATGATTCTATGATTCTTCTGACTGATGTTCCAGTATTTCAACTGATGCCTTTGAATTTTTAGGATTTTTTAGCTTTTTGTATATTTTAATGTAACTGTATAGTCTATCACATTTTAGAATAGTAGTTAACACTTACCAAACCCTATTCCCCCATTTCATATGGAATTTTCTAAATTCTTTACGCTTGTTTAGGCTCCTTTCAAGGCCAGACTATAGTAAACACATTCTGTTTAAAACATATGCACCCCGGGGCTGAACAAGATACCATCACAGTTAAAGCAACCTTCAAGCCCAGAACCTTGGAGAAGCTTCAAAGACAGTATGTGCCATAAAGAAGAGGAAGATGAGGAAGAAAGGGGTCTTGGGACCCCCCGACTCAATTCTGGAGAGGTATGCCTGGGGGGTGCATAGTTCTGGGTTTGGATGGATAATGCTATATAATTGTAGAACCACTGGACACGGGTGCGCGCCTCTATCGTACTCCTTGCGCCAGAATGCCTTTATTAAAGACTTGTTCTATATCTTATATCTACTAAATTAACCTGGTGAGTTTTTTGGCTCCCAATTTTTTAGGCAACAACAAGTACTAATGTCAGTGGAATATCTTATTTCTCAATGCACTTCAGAATCAGGGTCGTTAAAGACATTAAATCCACCAGCTCAGTTATTAATGTGGTCTTTTAATATAAGCAAATTAGGACATAAAATTCAAGGGCTGGTGGTGGGATTGGTGTCACTTTAGTTTTTGTATCAAGCAAAGTAACTTCAGTGTTGAAGTTGCCCCAGGAAACAAGTACTTATTATATGAGATGAACGTATTCCTTTGACCTGTTATGGAACACCTGTATCTATGTCTTATTTTAAGACATGGCCAGGCACCTCTACTTTTTTGTAATTTTTAAGATAATTCACCATAATCTTCATCTCCATTTTGATAATTTGGTTTTTATTATTCTTTCCCAATATATTATTCCTTGTCTGCATGTCATCCACATTGGATTAATATCTTACTAATTTTGTATGTTCTAATGGTTTAATAAAATCCATGTCTCCCTGCAGCACTTGGGCTGCAGCATTTTTGAGAAAATCTTGTGTTACACTGTAGAGGAGATATGTAATAATTTATCTTCCTTTCTCTTTGACTAATATTAAAGGCTTTTAAGGGAGGGAAGGGTAATTGTGAGAGTGAAGAAGAAAAGAAAAAAGAAAGACAAGAGACTATCCTTTCTATAGACCCATATATTAAGGCCATATATATATATATATAGCATAACTTAGTTAACATAAGGTTATATAACATAATGTTATATAGTTATGGTGTTGTTGGCAAACTTTCTGAGAGTGCACTCGATCCTACTGTCTGTGTCACCAACAGAGATGTTAAAGAGTGCTCGTTCCAATACCAACCCCTGTGGAATGCCACTCATCACTGCTTCCCACTTACCCATCAAGCCTTTGAAAGCTACCCTTTTAGTGCAACTGTCCAGACAATTTTTTATCCACTGAACGGTCCATCTACTGACCCGTGTCTCTCCAGTTTAGAGAAAAGGATGTCACAAGGGACAGTGTCAAATGCTTTGCACAAGTCCAGGTAGATGATGTCAGCTGCACTTCCCTTGTCCACCACTTCTGTAACCCCACTGTAGAAGGCCACCAGATTTGCCAGGCATGATTTGCCCTTGGTGAAACCATGTTGACTGTCACCAGTGACCTCATTATTTTCCACATCCCTTAACACAGTTTCCAGGAGGAGCTACTCCACCATCTTACCAGGTACTCAGGTGAAACCGACTGACCTGTAGTTACCTGGGTGTAAGGTAAACATACACAGGTATTCTTCCCAAGAATGTCAAGGCAGCGGAAGGATTAAAAAAAAATGTTTATTTCAAATGCAAGGACCACTTTTTTACAATGGTGCACACATCGGGCCCCGGGGCAAAAGGCAAAGCCTCTCCTCTTCCAAGGTTTTTGTATCTTCTCTCTCTCCTTCCCACTATCTCTGGCTCAAGGAGGCCTCGTACATGTCTGTAAATGTGTTCTCTCTCTGCATACCAGAGAGCAAGGCTGAGAACTTCTCTTGCTATGTGGGGGAATTGGGGAGGGGGGAGAAGCATTGAAACTGCTTTTGAGAAAGGGCCACCACCCTAGGCTGAAAGCCTTCCTAGCGAAATGAGTTCTAACTTCCCATTATAAATTCTTCTGGAAATGTATCTATTCCTACACAAGGTCTTCCTTATTTCCCTTTTTAAAAATGAGAGTTATATTTCACTTTTTGCAGTCTGTAGGAAACTTGCCATTACTTCTCAAATATGATGGAGAGTGGCTTAGCCACTTCCTTGGTCAGTTCCTTCAGCTCCCACGGATTTGTGCGCTGTAAGGTTTCCTAGATGTTCTTGAACTCCTTAAACTTCTTAAGGAAGTTTTATAACATTTTTTATCAAAATTTTCTTTCTCAATGAACATTTTTATGAAAAAAATATTTCTATGAAAAACACAGTGTAAACAGAAACAAAATATGAAATAAAAATTTTTTTGCTAAAACTTTCTCCTAAGCAAACACTAACATCTTTGATGAAAGGCTAAAAAATAATTTCTTCCATTTCATTTTATTCTTAATATTTTCTTATTGAATTATAATCTGATTTTTGGATGTCTAATTTGCTATTCTCAAACAACTCAAGAATATAAAAGACCATAAAAATAATTCAAGGTTAGCCTCTACTCACTCTAGTTCTCTAGTTTGTGCCCAAAACATATGGCTAGGAGTCTGATTTCTGCACACTAATCCAAAATCTTGTAACAGTTAATGAAATCTGATAGCTACATATTATTTTAATGTTTTAGTGGGTGTGATATGCAATTCATATAATTGATATTTGTATCAAATAAACCCTGTCACAAATAGTAAGAATGATTTACCTTTGACAATTGTCCCACTTACATGTTCTCAACTTGTCTTCTGTACTGAAGAAAATGTTGATCTTTGAAGTAGTATGTTTTGACTATGTTAGTCTGACCGCAGTCATAACCTACAGAATAGCAATATTGTCACTTCACTGTACTTTCATGATCTGAAGTGTTTAATAATGTGATTGCAGCCTGGTGTTCAATTCCCTTTTTCTGGAGAGATAAATCCAGTTGCTTATTGGATGAATAAACAGTTTTAAGTATTTATGATGATTCTGAATATGCAGTGAATACAGTGTTTGAAATTTCGTTAAGGTGCTTTTCTTAGAATAATCTGTTAGAACTTAATCACCTAGTGGAAACTCTGACACATTTGGATCGTATTAAATACACAAGTAGAAAAAAAACCTCTTTGCCTTGGAACAGTATTACGTCAGCTGTCTTAATCATAGTGAGTCTTATCTGTCTGACAGAGCAGTATTATATTTAATAGTATTGGTAATTCTGATTTACTAGGACAAATAACATATCAGAAGAGATTTGCATCTTCAATCCTGCCAATATATTACTCAATGATTCAGTGTTGAATATTCCCTGAGGCTTTTCTATTTATTTGTTAAGACCCCTAAACTTTGATGGCTGGGTAAAGTGTCAGCCACATATCTGAACTCCCACTGTAGTTCGCAGACGTGGTATTGTCACTGACTGCAGAGTCTCCAGATGATAGAAGCTGTGAGCTGACATAGCTCCATAGAAAGCAGAACCTAAAACTCATTCTGAAATAAGACTTGGTCCTGCTACCTAAACACCTAGTGGCATGTAAGACATCCTGGATTCATTTAGGGTCTGGAGCATAGGATCACACACAGATGTGTGGCATACCCACCAGCTACATGAAGATGTCTTGGATAACCATTGGTGTTATTGGTTATCCATATTGAGACATTTAAATTATGTTCCAGCTGTTAAATTGTCCAAAGCTGTCTCCAGAATGTATTCACTCTCTCAATCAGGATCCCAATTCAGTTACCTTATGTCAACAGGCTGCCCAATGCTAGATAAAACTTCATTGTATATGATTTAAATGTCACATCCTGGTAAAAATTGCATGTAACAATTCTATCTTGTTATGGTGGTTTTATCTAAACCAAATCTTGGTAGAAACGCCGTGTAAACACAGGAGCTTTTAAATCTACTTTAACTGAGAGTGTTGTGCAGACTGCAGGGAAAGTGTTGCTGGTTTTGTTTGGGGTCTTGTCATATACAGATTTTGTCTGGGAACTTACCGGAGGGAAGTGGGATGCTGAGGAAGAAGGAAGAACTTGCTCAGACCTGCCTCATTCTCCTTGTGGTGGTGAAGCCTTAAGCACCAAGCGGAAACAAACTGGAATTTCATGGGCCAATGCATGTTAGTTTTTCTAAACTTTAGCAGAACTGAGCTAAGTATGATTACAATGCTGAAGACAAAAAGGTAATTAATAACTTGTGGTTTTGACTGTTCATGCTGTAGAACTGTTAGCTGTGTTTGGATGACTCCAGCTTGCACTCTCAGTCATGAAGCAT